TGCATTTGAGGCGGGCGATTGTACATCCCCTGGGCAGGAGTGGTAGATGTGTAGTTGGTAGGGTGGGCGGGAGTCAACGTCGGCTGCGGGTGAATTTGGGGGAGTGGGTTGTAAGGATGATGCGACTGCGGAGGTACTGGAGTTTGGGGTGCAATGGCTGCATGAGGATGGGCTTGTGACTGTTGATAGGAAGTCTGTCGGCCGTATTGAGGAGCAGGCGAGATGGACTGGTGTTGGAATGAGTTGGGAGTCAACGAAGGGGATGGACGTGTCAGCTGAGGTTGCAGAGTTGGCGGAACGTGGCCCCCTGCGCCATTAGTTATGGGACGTGGTACCATGTTGGCAATAGTGCTTAATGAAGCTTGTCTCACGGCCGGCGGTGGAGGCGTAGGGGGAGGCGGAGGTGTTGGTTCTGGAGGCGGAGATTGCTGTGAGATGGAAAGTCAGTAAAGATGCTGCGAGGAAATCGGAACAATTGATTGCAGCCGGAATCCATCAAAACCAACAGGGTTGCAAAGACTCACATTCTCGTCGCGGGCATGTTTATGGATTCCGCCCACGATGGGCGGTGCATTGGGATGGCCCCATTGAGGAGAGGGTATCTCGTCCGTCTCTTTCATGGTGTCCTTTAACAGGTGCTTGAGTGGGCTCGGTATCTTCTTGATCTTTCGAGGCACCTCAAACAAGTCCATCTCGTAGTCCTTGTCTCGCACTTCATCAGGTAAACAACTGGCCCACGTCTTGATTTTGTTGAATCTGTGCTTCTCTTCATTGTACCGCGCTTCGCAGACATAGACCTCCTTCGTAGGATCGACATTTCGAGGTCTTCCACGAGTGTACCTGGTGAAGAACATGACAAAACAACGATCAATCACTTCCTCGATCCGATGGTCTCGATATTGGCCTGTCTTGACAACCTCGTTCGGCCAAAAGTGTTTCTCGTACTGATGTACTGTTTGTTCTGGACGGTAGTACCAACACGCGTTTATCCACTTCTGACCATCAGGATCTTCCCAAGTTCGGTAAATCTGAGCAACAATCGGCTTGGTCACGTCATTCTGGTTTTGGATATGGACCCAATCACCGACCTTCCAAAGTTCGTTTTTGTAAAAGATGCCAGCCGGCAAGGGTCTTCTGCCGTCTTCCATAAGGTATTCATCGTCAGGTTTGGCCTTTTCGATTTCTGCCAATTTCTGTGCTTCTGCGTGGAGGTCTACCGCATCCTGGTAGATTTCACTTCCATCCTCGTTGAATTGCTTTGCATTGTTAAACAGCAGATCAAGATCCTTCATGAAATGCTCAAGTGACTGGTACTTTTTTCTTTTGGCCTTCTTCTTGATGGTGTCGAGCGCAATGGGGTCTTTGATCTCAATAAAATAGGCTGGGTACTCCATCTTATCGGGTAGTCGCTCAAAATGACGGACTTTTAAGTTTCCCTCGTTGTCTTTCGGCTTGCGGAGTCCTTTGAGAATGGCTTTGATCCGAGCTTCCATAGGCGTGTCCACCTTGGGAGGTCGTCCTCGTCGTTTTCGAAGATCTGCATCGTCGCGTCTGTCATCATCTTCATCGCGACCCTTCCGTCCTGAGATGCTTGGCCGGCCGCCTTTCCGTCTTCTCTTCCTGCGATCATCTTCAGAATCGTCCTCGTCCTCGTCATCCTCTTCGTCCTCATTGTCTTCATCGTCATCAGATACTGGGGTCGGCTCGGGGGTTGCATCTGGTATCTCTCCGAGGTCTGGGAAGACTGTTTCCTCTTCTTGGATCAGGCCTTCGTCAACCAGCTTCTTGAGTTCCTCCTTGAAGACTGTCTGCAGCAGAAGCACGTCGCGAACAGGAGCCGAATTTGGTCTATTGTATACCTGGGCATTGTGGACAATCAGGGCGAAATCGCGTACAAACTCCGGAATGCCTGTGTATTGCTTTCTCTGTATCTTCTGCTTAAGAGTACTGATAGCCACAGGGTCCTTGATGATTTCGTGGTAATCGGGAAGGACCCGTCTATTGGGCTTGCGTCGGAAAAGCTGGGAGGGGTAGTAGTCCCTAAAGATGAAGTTAGCTTACGATGGGGACTCGAACACACGAGGTTGCACAGACTCATCCTTGATTTTGATCTTGTAGTTTGACAAGATATCGGTAATGTTTTTCAGAGCCCTGTACTGATCAAGAGAGACGGGAGGCTCCTCTTGTCCATCTCCAGCTGCGTCCTCAGCTTCTTCAGCACCGTCGCCCTCATTGTCGGATTTGTCGTCGGCCGCATCCTCTTCCTTGACAGCAGGCTCGACTTCGATGGATTGGACTGGCTTCGTCGCGGGCGCATCTGGGGTTTCGGACTCGGCCATGGTCTATTTGTCGCGCAACGATCGCAACTGACTCGCAATGTGGAAACTGAGCTGGAAAGGCACTACGGGTGAAGACATATGTAGGAGACCTATGTGCGAGCACTTATCTCTGGGAATTGGGCGAGACGATCAAGTTGTCGCGACTCTAGAGGTAATGCGACAGGCGACGTTGCGCCCTAACAAACTGCGGGCAAAATCTGGGGGGCGCGGCGATAAAGGCTTGGCGGCAGTTGCGCTGAGGACTTTCTGCAGCTTCATCTTCCATATCACCCCTTTGCTATGCTGGTGAGTTCTACAATTATCATCGTTGAAAGAAAAAGAGTGCATTGGAATTCAGGATCCTGCTCCAAGTCCCTAGTTCAGGACGCGTTTTCTGATAATTACTCGAATGAACCGCGTCGAAAGATCGGCCCGGACAACTCTTGGGGGTTAAACCACTCTGGGCTGATTAGGAACTTGTTCGCATGATATCCTCACCACCTTGACCGTCACCGCTGGCACGCGAGGAAGGCCTAGAGAGTGTCAGAGGCTACGTGTCGAGCCGTGGGAAGAAGATCAAGCCGTGTACTCCACGCACAACGAACGGTCCAGTCACTGAGATACCGTACAGAGATCCAGCTAGATCTCCTCCACTTTCATCCTTTCCATTCAAGACCATATCCTTCCCTGGTGGCGACCAGCGGCTGCGAGTTTGTTTGCTGTCACTTGTCACTAGCCACTGATGTGCCTCGTGACAGATCTGCTCCTCTTACGTTCTTTGGTATCTCATCTGCCCAACAGTATATATAACAAATCACCCTCGGTCAGAATCGTATTTGAACCCGGAGGAAGCAATGAGGGTCCGCATTAGAGGCCCTTCTGGCAAGTCCAGCACAGTCAGTCTCGACGATTCCGCCACGGTAGAGACGCTTCGCACAACCATTCAGACCGAAACATCACTATCTTCCTTCGAGGTCAAATATGGCTACCCTCCGAAAACCCTACCACTCGATCAACTGGCCTCTACAACGCTCCTTTCAGAGCTCGACATCAAATTGAATGGCGAACAGCTGATCGTTAATGAGATTAAACCACTAAGCCAGAAGGGTGAGACTCATCCTCCGGCGTCAGATCCACTCAAAAGCGCCTCCAGCGTAACTGATTCCTCAAGACACCCGGGCTCTGCATCAAAAGCCTTCCCCAGCACATCAAACCCAACCCCCAAATCTCAAGAAGCCTCGGTAACGCCATTGTCATTATCACGAAAGCAGAACCCCGAAATGGCAGACCCACCTGAGATCTGGTGTCCGGATCTACAGGGCACCTTGGTCTTACGCATTATGCCAGATGACAATTCGTGTCTTTTTAGAGCCGTTGCCAGTGCCGTCCTGTCAGATATGGACGCAGTCACGGAACTACGGTCGATCATTGCCCAGAATATTCAAGCCAATCCTGAAAAGTACACCAAGGCTATTCTAGACAATAAAGAACCCGATGCATATTGCCGGTGGATCCAGACTGAGGACGCCTGGGGGGGCCAAATTGAACTTGATATTCTCAGCCGACAATTCGATATTGAAATCTGCAGTATCGATGTGCAGAGCTTGCGAGTGGACAGGTACAATGAAGATGCACCGAACCGTTGCTTTATTGTTTATTCTGGCATTCATTACGATACAATCGCGCTAAGTGTCCATGGTGAACCACCAGAGGCAGATGTCAAGCAGTTCGTCCAGCCACTTTCAGACGAGGTCCTTCCACATGCCATTGCTTTGTGCCAGAAACTACAGGCCAAACACTACTACACCGACACTGCTGGGTTCCAACTCCGATGTAACGATTGTGGAGTGACGTGTACTGGAGAAGCTGGGGCAATGAAACATGCAGAACAGACAGGACATATGAACTTTGGAGAAGCTTCTTAGGGATAGTGGTCTGGGATTCGGCGAGATACTTGGAAGATACCGTCGGCCACGGAGGAAATTGGTCTTTCAGCCTCAATCCTTTGATGAGAGCGCTGTGGTCTTGAGAGACTGATCAACCTAAGACGAGACATTCAGCTGACTGCATGCTAGTTAGATAGAGGTATATCAGGCCTTACAAGTACCACTTTGCTCGAGACCGGACAGAGCATCTGACTGAAGCACACATCTCTGGATTACCACACGCGTCTTCCTGTTGTATTACAGAGGATGGGATGAATTCTCGTGATAGGTAACCTGTGGACTGGCTCCGCCCTCCACAGCCCCAAATGAGGCCCTGACTAAATTGAACCGCGAACATGGTCAGTGAACAACACCACAGATGAATCCACAAATCGTTGTGAGCGAAGCATTTCTTGGGTTCTGACTCGCCCTTGCCGACACCTTGTGCTGCTTTTGCTGCTTTTGACTTTGACGCTCCCTTGGCCGGTCCACACCCGTTGGTTGCCGTCATATCAAATCGTTTCCTTTGGTTTCTCGGCTCAACCCCTCCGTACCACGAGTACATTGCGGGTTTATGTAACCGAGGTCGAGTCAATCCCATGGGGACGAAGTATTTATTTTGTTCTCTAGATTTCTACTCTGGAGCCTGACGTTGCAGCCCAGCTCAGAGTTATCGTCTTGAAATCAATCGTCACAGACTCGGTCCATTCTATACTACAACACTCACACCTCCACCCCTAAATCAGTCACAGACACCATGGCGTACGCACAATCATGGCTCGATGTAGGTTTTCCAAGCCAAATTGTGCTCAATTTCCTCTCTCTGCTAACGGACATCTGCAGCTGGAGAAGAGCCTGGGTGGCCGCACGGTCATGAGCGGAACGCCGGAAGAGATTCGTGCCCAGTATGATCAACTTGTGGCGTTGTTGCTTCCTCAATTGCCTCCCCCATCAGACGCCGTCGAGAGCAAAGACGGTGAAGTCGAGGGCATCAAGTACCGCTTGTATACACCAAAGGAAGCTGCCAAATCAGGCCCCCTACCTGTCGCCATCTGGACGCACGGCGGAGGCTGGATGACTGGCGACCTCAACTCGGACGATTTGCTCTGCAGGGTTGTTGCTGAAGCTGTTCCCTCAATTGTCATCAGCATCGACTACCGCCTTGCCCCCGAGCACAAGGTCCCCACACAGCTCCAGGACTGTTTGACCGTGTACAAATGGGTGAGCACCATGACTAAGAGTGCCAGCATTACCCTTGTAGTCTTGTTGACTAATACATATTCTAGGCACGACAAAACGCCGCCTCGTATGGTGGTGACCCAAACAAATTCTACACCGTTGGTGGCTCTGCAGGTGGTGCACTGGCGCTCCAAATCGCCAACCGTCTGGTCAAAGACCCCTCGAAGCGCGATGGCATCAAGGGTGTCGCCGCCGTTGTGCCCTGTACGCTGCACTGGGACAACGTCCCAGAGGAGTATAAGGGTATCTATAAAGCGTACGAGGAGAACAAGGAGGGCGTCCCTATCATCGACAAGACCTCGATGCAGATTTTCTACGAACACGCAGGCGCCGATCCCAAGGACAGCGACATCTTCACCGCTCTGGCCACAGATAACCACGCCAACTTCCCTCCCACATATTTCGTCAGCTGTGAAAAGGATCCCTTGAGAGATGATGCGTACGTGATGGAAGCCGCACTGAAGAAGGCAGGTGTCCCTACCAAGCACGACCACTACAAGGGATTGCCTCACTATTTCTGGATCTTCCCCTCTGTGCCCGAGGGGCAGCAGTTTGTGGCCAACTTGATTGGGGGTATCAAGTGGCTTGTGTCGCAGATGTAATTAGATTGAGACTGGGTTGCTTCAGAAGGATCAAATTGCCCGTCCAGGGGCGGCGAGTCAACGAGAGTAACATCCTCAAGCACTCTGTAATCCCTTTTGCCACATATGGGATAGAAGCAAGCGAACAGAGATATGATTCAAGGACCCATCCATCTGGCAACCTCAAGGTGAAATAGGCCTCCCTCTGAGGTAGAGAATTCCACGGCAAAGCAAGTTTGTAGTCGTCCCTCACTATACAGAAAGCCCCGCGTAATTCCCGCTGCTCTTGGGAGTGACCCCACCCTCCACCATTTCCGTTTAAACCGGCATCGGGTTTGTTTCCCCCCACAGCCTCGTTGAGCCAGCGTCAGGCGATGCAGCATTTGATCAAATTGCACGGGGGCACATTTCCCTCGCTTCTGGATTTATGGCTGCTTCCTTTCTAACCAGCGCCGATGGCTTCACCTCCGCCAGCGGTCTCGACAGTCCCGTCACACCGGGCGGTGCCGGTGCTGATGTTCTCCCTTCGTCCAAGCGGTCTACAGCCCTGACCGCCAAACTCACCAGCGTCCTCTCCGCGTCCTACGCCGACTACGAGACCCGCGATGCGTTGCGCCTCCTCGACGAGCGAGGCGTCCGCAATGACGAGGATACAAGGAGGAACCTCAAGGCCAACGCACAAAAGGAGGTGATCGATTGCAATGCACAGATCGTGGATGATTTCGGTGTGGTTGCGGAGGTAAATACATGTATTCTCTGGCTGTCGTCCGACAGGCATATCAGCGTTGGGCTGCCCTCAAGCACTTCGTCTAACACATGGATAGCAACTGAAGCGCGTCGGGGCCTTGCTCGCGACCCTCAACACCACGTGCGAATCAATGCGCACGCACATCCTCGCGGCGAAACAAGAGTCCGCGCCAACGCTGGAGGAATTCTCCACGCTCATGACGCGCAAACGGGAGACTGAGGTGAAAGAGTCCCTCTTGACCGCGTTCACCAGCCACTTCCTCATCTCTAATCAAGATCTGAACATTCTGACCAGCTCCGCGGAGCCGCTCGACGAACGCTTCTTCTCGATCCTGGCGAGGTGCAAGCAGATCCACAAGGACTGCGAGTTTCTTTTGGGCTACAACTCCTCTCCTTCCGGCGAGGAGGAAGGCACGTCCCGACTGGGCTTGGAGTTGCTTGAACAGACTACCCGCAACCTGGATGCGGCCTTCAAGAAGCTCTACAACTGGATCCAACGAGAATTCAAGACGCTCGACCTCGAAGACCCCAATATCAGCGGCTCGATTCGTCGCGCGTTGAGGGTCCTCAGTGAGAGGCCGAGCTTGTTCCAGAACTGCCTCGACTTCTTTGCGGAAGCGCGACGAGCCACGTTGGCAGAGGCGTTTCATGAAGCCCTGACAGGCTCGGGTCATCATGGAGGTGCTGCGACGAAAGCGATTGAATTCTCCACCCACGAACCGTTACGGTACATCGGCGATATGCTTGCGTGGGTGCACTCCGCTGCAGTGTCGGAGAAGGAAGCTCTCGAGGGGCTCTTTGTGTCCGATGCTGAAGAGATTTCGCGGGGTCTCAGCGCTGGCAAGGCCACTGATCCGTGGGCTCGAATCAGCAGTGGCCGACAGAGAAGGGCGTCATCTGCGTCGAGCTCAGATGCGGAGAAAGAAGATGGTGACGAGCAGCCGGTCTTCGATGGCCGCAAGGCCCTGTCCGAACTCATCTCCCGCAATCTCTCCCTCGTCTGTCAGACCTTGCAATCACGGATCGACGTTGCCGTGCGCACTTCGGGGGATCCTGTGCTCATGTTCAAGACCTTCAACCTTTTAGATTTCTATCGCGGCATCTTCTCCAAACTGCTGGGGCAGGACTCAACCCTAGCCAGGCTCATCCAGACTCTGCAATCATCGACACTGGCACAGTTTGAACAAGCAATGGAAGAAGAGACCACCACCGCCATTGCAAGCATGGATTCGGAGCCACCGCGCGATCTCACGCCGCCGGTGTTCCTGGCCACGGCCTTGAGACAGTTCAACGACGTATGTCAGGCGCGAGGTCCCCAGATGACGGAGCCGGAACTCGAGCGACTCTTTACGTCGATGCTAAGCGGGATCCTGGCCGCGTGCGCCGAGTCCGCAACCAATCTCGCGGACGTGCGGAGAGCCAGCATCTACAAGATCAACTACCTGACCGCGCTGAAGGCGACACTCGCAAACATCTCGGCCCACGTCCCCCCTGCCCGGATCCCACTGGAGAAAGCCGCCAGGGAGATCCAGACGGTGCGGGACCAGCTGGTCGAATTCGTCACTTCGACGTTCCTCGAATTCTCCGGCGTCGCGGAGCTCATGCAAGAAATCGACTCGCGCAGGGGACAAGGCCCAAAGGCCCGACGGGCCTGGCTCCTCCAAAACCTCGACGAGGCCGCCCAGCGGCTCGACGCGTTCCTCTCCTCTGCCCTTATGGACGCGCAGGAAGCCATGAAACCCCTGTTCGACCGCCCACTGGCCCAGGATGTGGTGGCCGAAGCGGTGGAGAAGTTCTGCTCCGAGTACGATGATTTGGAGGGCATGCTAGAGATGGTCGATACTGAGACTTCCGTGTCAGCGTCAGCATCGGCGGGAGAGGGAGACGGCGACGATGGCGATGACGATGACCAAAGGTCAGAGGATCAGGGGGACAAGAGCGCCACTGGCCCGGTCGGGTCAGTGAGAGAATCGTATCCCAGGACTGGGGCAGAAGTGCGCGCTCTTCTGAGCTAGTGTGCAAACAACTTTGTCTATGCCTGACTATTGGGCGGGTCAAAATGAAGAGTGGCATTTTTCCACTCGCGGTCTTCCTGTATGCATTAAAAAGTATGGGTTGAATGACATGATGATCGAGGTCATTGGAACCTGGATGCAGGTCATCCAATCCATCTACATAAGTTGCTCCGACAAAAGACCTCCTTTGGGTTTACTCTGCTCAGCCACGGCGGGAATCTCAATGGTTAGAATGTATTTGAATTTGCTTTTGAGGTTTCAGACATGATGAAATAGAGAACTAAACTTGGTACATGAGCACAGGTAAAATTGTGCTGAACCTATGCCATGTTCCGGTTTGCTCCCCTTCCATTCCACTTCGAGTGTGATATTTGCCATGCTGTTACAGGGTGGCGCATCTATGGTGGTGGTTTCTCTTCTCAGGGTCTCCTGTTCTACAACACCTTCTCGGCAGCAGAGACTGTGAACTTTAGAAATGATCCCATGATTAAAGGGAAATGGCAGAACTCACTTGTAACCCCCGTGTTGTCGGGTTCAACAGCGGCCTTGACGACCTTGCCATCCTCCGTGATCACAGCATATCGCTTGCTTCGGCCATTGCCCAAGATGCTAGAAGCATCGAACTCCACATCCCAGGCACGAGTGAATTCTCCAGAGGGGTCAGCGAGGAATCGGATGCCGCTCTTCTTTGTCTCGTCCAAGCTCTTTGCCCAAGCCTTCATGCTGTGGAAGAAGTGAGAAACATGGTGGAAGGAATGGTGTCTCAAGAGCTCTTACACGAAAGCATCGTTCACAGAGACCACAAACACTTTTCCGGCACTCTTCAACTTGTCATTGGCAATGTAGCCCGGAATGTGAGTGTCGGAACAAGAAGGGGAGAATGCAGCGGGGACACCGATGATGAGGCCTTTGCCAGAGCTGAGCTCTTTGGCGAGATTGACCTTGTTGCCGGGGGAGTCCTCGTAGAGGTCGATATTGGGGATGGAGTCGCCTTCTTTGACCTGCAAAAATGTCAGTTGGTGCAGAAACGAGGCATAGAGATACACACCATGATTGCGGGTGTCGATGAGAACTGTCTGAAGAGGGGAGTGAGAGAAGCGGGACGAAGAGAGGTGGAAGAACGGAAGATGGATCGAGAGAGCATTTATGTGACTGGTGAGATTGAACTGAGTGGGAAAGTATTTGAAATCCGTGGAAGGAACGATTCACTCCAAATTCACTTGCACTTCACTTGTTGTGTGCTGTTGCCGTTGGTCCTGGGAGCTCTAAAGGCTGCATTCATACTTGTAGCTTCCCCAATGGTTGTGCCAATGCAGGGGCAGGACGACATCATTGCGGGGTAGTCTTTAAGCTGCGAATTGCGGTTGGTGCCGTTGCGCGGGTGCCTCTATGCCTCCCGGGTGCCTCCCTCCCTCCCAAAGCCAACCCACCACAACACTCGAGTCCTGCCCCTACTCGGCATAGGAACGAGTACGAAGGACTTGTAATCCGCCGCAAGAAATAGTCTAGGTGACCCAGTATTGTCTATGATTCGACTGGATCCCTCGCTCAATCCTACAAAACTGCATCATATATTTGAAATCTTCTGGCTGGCCATGCACATGCAAGTCATCTCCTCACACAAAGGAGACAGAGGTTGCGGGTCCGGCCCCTCCAATGACAGGATTCACTCGCAAGTCCTGAGACTCGAAAATTGAAAGCTTCATAAATACCTGCACTGCTGACTCCAACCTCAGCGAAAGGTGAGGACTCGAAATCTGAAGTCACCCGGGTTTCGGACAAAGCAGCCTGCAGGAAGATTACCGAGATGGCCATTTGAGAAGTCCTCTGCAACTGGGTCGCATCGCCTCAATGCACTCTCGGATGGCTTGTAGCCTCCTTGCGCCCGCCCTCAAAACAAGACCTCGCGACCGAAGCACACGATGTCTAAATCGGCAGTCAGAACACTAGCCATCCAGTAATTCACCTCAAAGTTTGATGTCAAACATTTCGGCACCTGCCAAATTCGCACCCTTTGTGCCAAAACGAGCCCCTGCGTCTGTTGCGCTGTCCAAGTCTCTTGTTGCGGTTCCCCGGCCCACGGATTCGGTTCGCGTTGACGGAAGGTCTAGACTCGCCCATTGTTAGACCAACAGCAGAGCTCGGATACTTCCTTGGTGATCGCCTATCCACGAAGCGCAGATTTGGCGTCCAGTTGTCATTTCCCCATCATTGTGAATGGAGCACTGGCCACGAACTTCGGCCTCACCGAGCATGCAGGAAGCTGTCATCTAGAACCGCCAGAAAGGATTTGACACTGTTTTATCTCACCCAACAGGGAGCGATCAGGAGACAAGGCGTACAGGTCGTCCTGTTGTACCAGGATGGTCTTTCCGCCGGGATGCTTAACCAGTGATTTTCAAAAGGTTACGCTGCCACAACTTCCTCTGGCCAGCATTGGGACGCCTTTCCCAAATCGGACTGAGGAGACGAAGGGGCGATCCGCGATCGCGAGAAAGAAGAAGCGAGCAGAGTAGCCCGAACCGACCGGTGACATTGCTAGGAAGCCAGGAAGCAAAACCCGAAAACAGGGGAAGATCTCAAGCACCAGGGGCGCCAAACAATGCTTAACGCTTTCAAGTACGGGAATGTCTACCAAGTACAAGGTACCTCGTACAAGTATTCGGTCTTTCTAGGCAAAGAACGATTCGGTCGTGAGGACCCACGCTGCTGGCAGGACCTGACCTGTCTTTCTTTGTTCCTGCGCAAGATGGGGTGAAAGTTTTATTACTTCACAAGGCCCTCAAATTGACAGCCCCATTCCTGTCCCGAGTGTAAAGTTCAGGCGGACATTTATGGCACTTGCGGCTTGAGCCATCTCCGTTAAGCCCCCGAGCTTGTTGGGATCGTCATGAGGCGAACGTTTCCACAGTGAGGCTGTCATCCTCGCTCGCGTCAGCGAAGACGCGGTCTTTTTCCTTCGGCTTTTCTTTTAGGCCATCACGACCTGCAGATTGACGGCTCTCCGTTGATAGATTGTACTCGTAACCGTGAATCAACAAGGACGGGACAAGCAGCGCAATCAACAAAAGCCTCTGCCTTTCGATCGTTTCAGCGACAAAGAAGAGACTCCACAGAATCCTAGTGGCGATTTCACGCCATTGCCTTTATGGGAATGGTGGAATGTGACAAGTCAAGGTCCATTTCCAACTACGAGTTCCTATTCTTACTGGCAGGCCGTTATTCTGGTAATCACAAGCCTCATGGTTGCTTTTATCGGACAGGGAAGCCGCCTTCACCTCCCTAGCCCTGGGAAGTTGGCAAGTTGACAGTTTTCCCCGTCTACAGTGGATCCTGATCAGCCGAAACATTGCGATTTCCGGCTACGAGTTTTGCAGTGTGGCAGACCAAGACAAGCACTGGTGCTCTAGGAAAGTCAATGATCAGCCTGGAAAAGTGTCTTCCTCACCAGACAGCTCTAGCAGTCGAATGGGATGTTCAGACGGTTCTGTTTTGACGGGGCCTTGGCCCCTTTTTTCCAACTTGATGGTCGATCGCTGTGACACTTGGTTTGGAATGGACAAGCGTGGCCAAGTGAGCGAAAAGAGAGTCTTCGGATCGCCAAATCGGTGCCAAAGCCCATGGCGCACTCGTCACATTGGCCAGTGGTGTCCTGGGGAGTGGGTTTTAGCGAATGTCCCGAGCGGGGGGGAGCTCACGGAAAATTTGGGCTTTGGCTGGGGGTGTTGGACTGCTAGACTCCTGGCTGGGCGCTGGGCTGGTATGATGGAGGGCAGTGCATGGGCAAATTCATCCCTAGTGTGCTAGTTCACGCTTCGGGGTCCCCCCATGGCCATGACCCATTCAGCCCAGCAAACTGTTTGGTAGCTTCCCCCTCTCCTCGATCAGATCCTTTTTCTCCCTCAAGAGCCCCAGAAGCGCCCTATCACTGACCTCCTTGATCGGGTTCCGCATGATTAACTACGAGCACTAGGCCTAAAAGGCCACCAATGAGCCGTACTGGTACACAGTAGTTAACCGAATCTCCCCTCTACTTTGTTCTTCGCGCACTGTTAGCCGCACCACATTTTCCCCCCTCCATTCGCCCCCGGTTCAACATACAGGGAGATGCGATCCCATGCTCGCCTAAACTGGGTGCAATTGTCAATTTTTGATGATGCTGACTGGATGGGCAGTGGGAGTTGTCTGGTGTGGTCCACCTTTACGTCCTCTTTGCGTCCTGATAGAGGAGCCCAGCGCCAACGACGCCTCCCAGAACTGCCAGGAAATTCTTTGTACTGGTTGTTCTTCTGCTCGTTTGCTCGATTTTAGCACTTTCCTCGCTAGGTTCCCAGGCCCCTTTGGTGTTTCCAAGAGCCCGCCTATCCACCCACTCCCTGCATCTTGCACCTTGTAACAGCTGCAGCCAACTTTCTCTTCTCTTGCCCCCCTCCAAACCATCCACCACCCAACTTGGAATCCATTGACCCGTCACCACTTCCGATCCTTCTTCCCCAACACCAAACACCACACAGAAACGCAGACACACGCAGACAAACTCATCCTCTCCCCATCCCGCACTCGTTGAACAGCCACATTCTATTCAATCGCTGCTATACAATTCTATCATCGCTTTATATCTGAGTAACCTGGCATTCCACGTCATTTGCTCCATATCGCCCTTGGCCCTCCCGAGATCTGGGAATCCTAGACTCATTGCGGCCGAATAGCCGAAATCCAGCATTCTGCACCCTCCAACCTCGAAGCAGCCTCCACCATCCGAGTTTGTCTGTGCCACTCGACCAGCATTCTGCCGCCCAGCACATTCCATTCCAATCATCATCATCTGACGGCGGATCACACATACCTCCCATCCCGTATATTGTGCTTTTGCCGTATCCCAGCACCTTTCGAAACTTGAAAGCGCATCTTTAGCGATGCTGCGGTGATCCGGCATTGTGCAGCGGATTGCAACACCCACGATTGAAAGCCGTCGACGTCCTTGTGGCCCTAGTTGAAGCCACATCTCGGAGGGAATCTATCGCACAGAAGAGGAAAATTCGATCTCGGAAAAATCACACAAAGATGGACGGCCAGGGTGCATCGGGAAACAACTCGAGCGACTTCGTGCGCAAGCTGTATAAGTATATCTCACTCGCAGCCATCATCCGTGATGGCACTCGGAGCTAATTCATGCGCAGAATGCTGGAAGACCCTTCGTACTCTTCGGTAGTCCGTTGGGGCGATGATGGTGACAGCTTTGTGGTATTAGAGAACGAAAAATTCACAAAGTCCATCCTCCCCAAACACTTCAAACACTCCAATTTCGCCAGTTTTGTCCGGCAATTGAACAAATATGATTTCCACAAAGTGCGACAGAACAATGAGGACGGCGGATCATCCATGTACGGCGTCAACGCCTGGGAATTTAAACATCCAGAGTTCCGGCAGCACAACAAGGAGAGTCTGGACAATATCAGACGAAAGGCCCCAGCCCCTCGGAAGCCGTCGAGTCTCAACGACGAACAGATTCCCATCCAACAAATCGACCTAATGAACCAACAGATTGTCGCACAGGCCCAGCAAATAGAGTCTCTTGTGACGTGTAACAACCAACTTCAATCCCAGTATCAGATGGTGGCGCTCGAGGTCGTCCGACTTCAAAAAACGGTCGTCAATCACGAAAAAGTCATGCAGGATGTCATGATATTCCTGCAATCCGTCGACGCTAAGCAGCGCAGAGACAGCAAGCAGCTGTTTGCTCCACCCTCGGACTCTACACAGACAGGCACAACCCTGACCCCCACGAGCCAGAACATGCCTCCCCAGGATGAAGACACACCGGCGTCACCCTTACAACACGCCGCGAAGCTCCTGAACGATATCAATTCCGATGGACAATTTAACATCGCTGCGCTCGAACAGATGAACGCAAACATGCATACCCCACCAGTAGGACAGGACCCTCGATCTGGGCAGTTCCGCGGGCCTAATTCTGCCCCTCCAAGCGGCAGCATGGGTTTCTCAAAGATCAACCCGGCCGAATTAGAGACGGTTGTATATCCGTTGGGGTCAACCAATGGCATTGACCCGCTATCCAGCGAGTACATTCATCAAATCCCATACTCGTTACCTCCGAGAGACGGCTCAGATCCACGAGCACAGTTCGCCGACACACGAAAGAAGAGTGGGACAGCGGATCCTGGCTGGAGTCGACCGCCGCGAATTCTTCTGGTCGAAGACGACCCAACCTGCCGTCAGATTGGCGGCAAGTTCTTGCACTCGCTCTCGTGCGTTGTTGATTCGGCTCTCGACGGTTTGGAGGCCGTGAACAAGTTGCAGGAAGGGAACAAATACGATATGATATTGATGGATATCATCATGCCCAACTTGGATGGTGTGTCCGCCTGTCATATCATCAGACAGTTCGACCGAACCCCCATTATCGCGATGACATCCAACATTCGAGCGGACGACATTTCTATGTATTTCCATCATGGCATGGACGATGTTTTGCCCAAGCCGTTCACGCGAAAATCCCTGGTCGATATGTTGGAGAGATTTTTGCCACATCTCAAGTTGATACCACAAGAGCCGCAGCCAATGTCAGCGACAACTGGGGGAGCGGCGTCATCGACGGCTCACTCCGTCCGTGACGATATGTCAGCAGAGGCTTCTCCCGCGGGATCAAGCACGTGGAATTCTCCTAGCCAGTACTCAGGAGTGTCGCCGGTAAACCCCAATATACATTACGGCGGCATGGCACAACAGCAACAACACTACATGGACACAAATGGAAACCCGACATCCTTTCCAAACGGGCCACAGACCCCCGTAGGGCTGCGAGGGTCCGGCATGCTCACGCAGCAGCAGCAGCAGCAGCAACAGCAACAGCAACAGCAGCAGACACACAGAAGAGGTCCGTCGGAAATGGGCGGAGGATCAGATATGGGCAACTCGAATAAACGCCAACGCATATACCCACCCCAAAATCAACCAATGGCTGCGCCAATGCGGCAATGATTATGACAAAACATTTCTAAAGAGGCGGATTACAGCAAGGGATATACATGCATGAGCTCTAGTGCACACTGTAATCTTTGACGATGAAACGCTCTGGGTCAGATGGGCTTCGTGATCCATTGACATCCCACTCGTCCAATGACGCGATCTCGTCTTTCCGACCTTCGAGCCTCAACAGCCCCGCAGGATATCGGCCGAACATCTGAGCGGCGTCGAAGAGTATCAATCGAGTAGAAAGAAGCCCATAAGCTTCCTGCAGGGGTACACAGCGACCCATATCACGACTTGATGAGAGATATAAGGGTGGGGGAAAACCAGGGGCAAGTTTTTGATTTACGATACCTCCTCACGAATGATTTTTGGGTTTGGGGAAGGCCATCGACCTTTTGGTGTTGAATTTTGGTCACGGAGAAGCTCATGGGCTTCAACTTTCTCCGTGGTCTGTAAAGATGGTATCTGGCGGCCGGTTATATGTGTGATGGTTGTCCCTGGGCTACCGACCTGGGGTTTCCAAGGGGAACATGGAATATAAATCCTGTGGCTCACATGTAGTGAAAGAGGTGTTTTGGTGTACAGAACTATCTAACATCTACCTAGGTATTGTGCGGTAATAATGGGTTTAAAAAACTATCTGCCCACCAGCCCCAACAACATCTGAAGCTTTGGGCCTAATATCTGGGGTAAACGGTTTTATTCTGATGACTTTCCTTGTCTTGTCCGTCGAGATATCATCTGGGAATGCTCATGGCCAGACTCGAAACAGCCAGCCAGCTCCTTGAATAATAGGCATCCACTTCAACTGATGTAGTAGTACCAAAAAGTGTAGAGTCACGTCCACCTGCAATTGTCATTAATCAGACAGCGAGCTCGGCCCCGGCGAGGTCTATCTCTCCCCCAATTCACGTCCGATTTTCATTCATCCTATTCTCTCTCTCTCCTTCTCCCACTGCTCCGGGGTCAAGCATCTAGGCGTCCAGGCATGGATAGCCTTGATCTCATCCTTCAACACCCCGTTGACCAGCCGACTCCTTGCCAGTAGTGTTTTCTTCTCGAAGTCTGGGGAAACGATGATGGCGTTAAAGGCTTGCCCGCAACCCCCCGACATATCCTCCATACTGATGTGAGTTATGTTTATGGATTGTTTGAGTTTCTCGGTGAGGAAGTCTGGAGTGATGGGAGGGGAGGAGGATGCGGCGACTTCTGCGGCTTCAGTGTCCGTATGCGCAGCCATTGGTGGGGAATTGTTTGTCGAAGAATACGTGAAGGAGCGCAAAGCTGTGACGGAAAAGGAACGCGAGAAAAAGGACCGTGGTCTGAGTCCTGGGCGTCGGTGGGGTGTTTGTCTGGTGATGGTGCTATTTGCGCGGACAATCGTAGTCGTGACTCGGCGGGCCGCTTGCGATGCCAGAGCAGTATAGACTTGCATGGACACGGCTTAGGGCTGAGGAGAAGGGTTCGTGACGGATAGCCGAGTTGGGTGATGTCTTGTGGTGAAATTGAAGTCTTCTCTTCCAATAGTTGAAGATCAATTACTGATGGTATTGCGAATTGGAAATCAACCCCGGCGGAAAATAATAATTCTCGGTCCCCCAAAGAGCTGCTTCAAAGTGCGTCATCGGAGGGCAGTCCATAGAGTTCAGCCTCGCGCCTCTGTTTTCCCTGCGACAGCCAACGCATCAGCTTCCAATGCCCGCATGTTCTTGGACACGATGTGAGCTAGCAGCACATTGACTGATTGGGCCGACAATGTGCTGCCCTCGACTAAGTTTCTGATGCTTCGATTTTTCCTCCCTCGAGCTCTCTATATTCCTAAATACAAAGCCCTCTTGATCCGTCGCAAGATGAGCACCTCTCAACCCAATACCTATAATGTCTCCCCCTTCACCACTGCCGTGGTGTCCTCGATGCGCCGTCTCTACCCTGAACCACTGGCAGACAAGACCTTCGACAACACAGGTCTGCTGGTCGAAGCTCCCTTCATACCCTCTCGGCCTCGGAACCGCAACTCGGTCTTATTGACCGTCGACCTCACTCGAGCAGTTGCAGACGAGGCAATAGAGAACAATCACTCGGTGGTGGTGGCATACCATCCTATAATATTTCGGGGACTCAAGTCCATAACCACGGATGACACCCAGCAGTTGTCCATGACACTGCTGCTTGCGCATGGCATCAGCGTGTATTGTCCGCACACGGCCGTTGACACCGTTCCTGACGGAATGGCCAACTGGCTCTGTGATATTGTGACGGGCAAAATAGATGATCCGGAGCCCGAGGCATATGCAGTGGCTTCAGCTCCATCAGATACAGAAGTCACGACCTCTGAAAGCGACTCAGACATCCGTTCCAATCCTTCTACAAAACCCACGTCTCCTTCGGCGCATCACGACGAGGACGCAATGACGGACCCATTCACCACTCCAAGAGCAAAGATGAAGATCTCTCGTCCGAGCCATGCGCGTAGGACCTATTCTAGGCCCGCCCTGCCGCTGCCAACGTCTGACTTCCACGCTGCTGTAATCCCTCACACTCGGAGCGTCATTACCCCGTCTCCTCGCGCGTCCCTTGACACAGCGAACCAATTTACTTCGTCCAGTGTCTACAACTCCTCCAACACTGGGGCTGGGCGGTTGATTGAGTTCTCTTCACCGCAACCCTTGACCCTTCTGATCACCCGCATCGCTCACGCAATCGGCCTTCCCAAAGGCTTTGCGGTGGCCATCCCTCAGGGGAGAAATCTCGACGAGATGGCTATCTCGAGTGTTGCCACATGTCCAGGCAGCGGAGGAGGCGTGGTCCGGGGTTGTAAGGCGGATTTGATATTTACAGGTGAGCTGAGTCACCACGAGGCTTTGGCAGTCATCGAACGAGGTGGCTGTGTCATTTCCTTGTTCCACTCAAACTCCGAGAGAGGGTACCTCTGGAACGTGATGAGGGAAAAGTTGGAGAGGGAAGTTAAGGAGGAGTGGGCCAAGATGAGATGTGAGGAGGCTAGCAAGAGTCGTTTGACCGGGCAGATCAAAGAGATGCTGAATGATGAGAATGTGGAAGTGGTGGTCAGCGAAAGGGATAGAGATCCGTACGGGGTTGTGGTCCTGGATGAGACGGCGGTAGAGGGAGTGAGGATTGACGAAGGAAAGAGTTGAGCAGTGAACATCAGAGATACGCCTCTGGACACGGCCAACAAGTCTCCCATGGCTAGACTGGTCTACGTCGTCATTTCCATCACCACCAGGACCTGGAGTTTTCCTCGTTCCCTGCCACTTGTCAACGAGATTTCGACGATGGCCTGTTCGTGCTGACGCATCTTGGTCCTGCTTGCCAGCTAGGTGCCACCTGTCATTGGAGGATGTGTCGACGCATATAATCAGAGGACCCATCACTAAGGCTGCTGCTGGCCGTTAATCTCCACGCCGAATGACGCTTCCTCCTGCTCCATGGCCACGGAGAAGGCCAATTGATACAACCCGTGTCACTATCCGCAGGCTATTTTTGTGGTTCTTCTCTGTCCTCCAATGGCGGCTCTGGCCACAGCACGGTTTCAATCCAACATCAGCCTAGGTTTGGTGACAGTACAAGTATCGCCACTCGGGTTGACCTGGGTTCGGATATAGCAAAATGGCACGCAAGAACGAGAGGGATAAAGAAGCGGCATGAAAGGAATTGCTTCGTCGGCTTCTAAAGGCACCTACCTAATCTGCCAGATGGTGGGAGAAGAGTTGCGCTGGATTTGCAGGACTTCTTCACTATTCAGCCCATCGACCATTCGGTTCGAGAAGATTGTTCCTGTTACTCTTGTGATAGCAGCAGAAGCCAACGACTTGGCTCACCTGTTTGAGTCTGATTGTCACAGAAGCAGTGTCTTCAAAAGTCCCCTGCTACATATCTAACGGTCTTAGCATCTATTTCCTGTTTCAACTCATTCTCCCTTTTCCGGTTTTTCCAACGCAAAGATATTCCTCCTTTGTTCCTTTTCCTTTCCCAGCTTCACTAGGCATCAACAGCTACAGCAACGTTGAATGCAACCCAACTCAACTGCGAACCCCCAGTGCGCTACAAGACAAGACGAGACACCACAATAGCGATGAGCATGGGCGTGGATATGGGTACGGGCGCGTTTCTAGCATCTCTCTTCCCGTCCCTCCTCCCGGTCCTCCCCCTCTTCCACCTCACCGCGTTCCTCAATCTGCTATTCCTCCTCGCCATGCCGATCCTCATCTCGCTCGACCTATCACCGTTTATCGGGCCGGATGACCCTTGGTTCACCGAGTTTTGTCAGGTATGTTCCCCCCAAAAAATCGATCGTGGGATTTGTGTATATGTATATATGCATAGTTATATGCATGCATACATGTGTACATGGCTACGTGGCGACGGTTAACGATCCGGCTGGAGTGATAGCTCGCTCAAGCGCCTACCTTTTCTTTTCGAGTGAAAGGCAACCATGCCGTGTGAGGTGGTCGGGGTCGAGAAAGAAGGAAGCCGTATTTCTCATCCCAATGGAGCCGTCAACCGGAGGGAGGAAAAGGATATCCTTGCATTCACCAAATGGTACGAGTCTGGGGGAGGGGAATCGGCTAGCTACATTGGTCGAGGAGTTGCAGAGCTGACCATCTTTAAGGCGAAATGGTTTGATAGGGAATTTAACGGATTGGTATTTTTGATTTGTGGCCTATAAAGCTCCCCGTGAGCCCCTGACCAGACAGATGCTATCATCACGACATTTGTGTTTTTCCGTGCCCGCCAGCCTCCCAGATACCTAGTAGATACCTAGGTAAATATGCACCTCGTCCCAAAAAAAGAAGAGAAAAAAAAAACCGCAGTTTGCGACACTTGGTAGTAAGTATTATCTTATTACACCCCCTCCCCTCCTCTCCTCTCATCTGTTAGAAACCATTTTTTTTTCTCACGTCCACACCGCCTGAGCCAGGCTGATGGTCGAGTCGTCAAAGTCGTAGTAGACGTAGGCGCTGCGCATAAAAGTGTCGCCGAAGCTGATGACGGACTGGGCCTGGGGGAGGAAGCCGAACAGACAGGTGCCGGACTCGCCGGGCACGGGGACGGCCAGCTCGGAAAAGGGCACCTGGATGGCCACGGCGGGTGTGTACCCTTCGCCGCCGAAGCCGAAGCTGAAGAAGCCGGACGGCATCTCGCACGGCACGAGGTAGTTGCCGTTCGAGTCCGTGTAGACGGAGAAGTAGGTCGCCAGCTCGTTGAACAGGTCCACGGGCAGCACGCTCGTCGTGTACCCCGTGTCCAGGGCGACCGGGTACGAGAACCCCGACTGCGTCAGGTGCGTGGTGCTGCCGTCCGACGTCGTCGCAGACAGGTACGTCCACTCGACCTGCAGCCGCGGCGCCGAGTCCGTGTACGGGATCATGGGCAGCGTGACCAGCGACCCGGCGTACTTGGACCCGTCGACCGCGCCGAACAGGATGAACCCGCTCCCGGCTTCCAGGTCGTCGAGGTAGATGCTGTAGGACCGCCGGTCGATCAGGCCCTGCGCTTCCAGGTCGTCCAGCAGCTCCGGGTACTTGACCGCGCTGGCCTCGAGGCCCGCCAGCCCGATGCCCATGATCCCCCGCGTCGTGCCGGCCGCCGACGTGGCCACCGCGAAAGTCACGCCCGTCACCGTCGCCGAGCCGAGTCCTACCGTGTCGTCGACGTAGTACCCCGACGCGCTCGTGCCGTCGAAATAGCTCGCCGAGAAGGCTCCCAGGTTTTCGTCGTAGACGTCGGTGCTCGATTCGCTGGGGTCAACTAGTCGCCAAAATGTTAGCCCGAGCAGGTCTAGGTCTTGGTCCGAACAATGGTCTTGGTGTAATTGGTTTTTTTTTTTTTGAGGGAAACTTACATATTCCGCCCGTACATGCGCTGCACGACCCAGGCCCGTAGACCCAGATGTCGCTGCTCCCCGTGTCGATGCTCAGGGTGATTGTCTGGGCCGGCGTGCCGATATCCAGGTCGACCAGGTACGAGTAGTCGGCGTTTTGGAGCGTGGCGGATACCCACCGACGCTGGAGATCTCTTGTTACATGGCTCTTTCTCACAGGTAGACGTAGTGATGTCCCTCGCTCGGACTTGGTTGAAGACACAGGTGCTGCGAGGCAGCAGCATTGCGAAAGAAGGACGGCCGCGGCGGCGTAGAGCCAAGATCCTGTCCTCATGGTGTGTAAGTGAGTGTCGATGAAAAGTATGACTTTGTTATTTGATGTGATGTGGGAACGAGTG